CCCCCATTCCCAACTCCCCCCTCCCCCCCCATTCCCATCCCCCCTCCCGTCCCCACAGACGTGCTGTCCAACTACTTCACACAAGGCAAACGCTCCCAGCGCTCCGGGCTGCTGCTGGTTTTCTCGCTGCTGCGCGACGCGGTGCTGCCGCGCCGACAGAAGATTTACTGACCCCCCCCCGCCCCCCCCGGACCCCCGGCGCGCCCCCAGGCCCACGCGTGGGGAGCTCTGGATGTGCGGGGTGAGGGGCTGCGCCCCCCGGCCCCGGCAGGACTGTGATTTATGGGGCGGGGGGTGAGGATGGTCGGCCGCCCCACAGCGCTGCACCCCCCCCACCCCCAGACCCCCCAACCCCACTGGGTGCTGGGGTGAGATTTGTGCAGAACTGTTGGTTAATTAAACTTAATTCTAATTACTAAGGACAGGAAGTGCTCAAACAACTCCCCCCCCCAAATCATCACTGCTGGGGGGCGATGGGATGGTGACCAAAGGGCAGCGGGGGGGGGGGTCTGGGATCCCCTGTGTGCCTTCCAGGACCCCCAAGTGCCCTCTGGGACCCCCAAGTGCCCTCCAGCACCCCCTGTGTACCCCTCTGAGACCACCAGGTGCCCTCTTGGACCCCCTGAGACCCCCAAGTGCCCTCTGGGACCCCAAAGTGCAATCCAGCACCCCCTAAGTGCCCCCGGGATCCACCTGTGTACCCTCTGGGACCCCTAAGTGCCCTCTGACACCTCCAGGTGCCCTTTGAGACCTCCACAATTGCCCTCCAGCACCCCCTGAGACCCCCAAGTACCTTTGGGACATTCTGTGTGCCCTCTGAGATCCCCAAGTGCCCTCCAGCACCCCATAAGTGCCCCCTTGGACCCTCAGGTGCCCTCTGGGACCCCCTGTGTACCTTCTGGGACCCCCATTTGCCCTCTGACACCGCCAGGTGTCCTCTGGGACCCCCTGAAACCCCCAAGTGCCCTTTGGGACCCCTGTGTACCCCTCTGGGACCCCCAAGTGCCCTCCAGCACCCCCTGCGTGTCCCCTTGGACCCCCAGGTGCCCTCTGGGACCACCTGAGACCCCCAAGTGCCCTCTGAGACACCTCAAATGCCCTCTAGGACCCCCTGTGTACCTTCTGGGATCCCTAAGTGCCCTCTGGGACCCCCAGGTGCCCTTTGAAACCCCTCAAGTGCCCTTTGGGACACTCTGTGTGCCCTCTGAGACCCCCAAGTGCCCTCTGGGACCCCTAAGTGCTGTGTGACACCCCCCAAGTGCCCTCTGAGACCTACAAGTGCCCTCTGGGACCCCTAAGTGCCCTCTGACCCCCCCAGCTGTTGGATGACCCCACTCTGCTTTCTGGGACCCCAAGTGCCCTTTGGGACCCCCGTGTGCCCTATGGAACGATGAGGGCCGTGCCATTCCCATCCCCCCCGCCCCCAGTTCCACCGTTGGCTGACCCCACTCTGCTTTCCCCAGAGCCCGACTGATGAGTGAGGAGCTAATTAGGGCGTTAATGAGGCGGGTCTCGTTAAGGCCCCGGAAGCAGATGTGGGGCAGCAGCTGAGGGGGCAGCACAGCGAAGGCCCCACAGATGTCACCCCATGGGGGGGGTGGGCAGGATGGAGAGGGGCAGGGGGGTGTCGTTAATTAAGGGCGGTAATTAGGGCCGCCTCGGGATGGGGGCACAACTATGGGGTGGGGACATGATGGGAGATGGGGGCATCCCTGTGGGGTGGGGGCACGGTGGGCAATGGGGGCACAACTATGGGGTGGGGACACGATGGGGGACATGTGAGTGTGATGGGGACATCCCAGTGGGGTGGGGACACTTGGATGGGATGGGGACATAGTGGGGGGATGGGGATGTCCCTGTGGGGTGGGGACACCCTATGGGGTGGGGACACACGGGTGGGATGGGGACAAATTGGTGGGATGGGGACACTTGGGTGGAATGGGGACACGAGGGGTTGATGGGGACACTTGAATGGGGTGGGGACACCCCTGTGGGGTGGGGACACACGGGTGGGATGGGGACACAATGGAGGGATGGGGACACCGCTATGGGGTGGGGACATCGTGGGGGGATGGGGGACAGCATGGAGTGATGGGGTCAACGCTGGGTGACAGGGACATTCCAGTGGGATGGGGACACCATAAAAGGATGGGGACATCATGGAAGGATGGGGACATTGTGGGGGAATGGGGACACGATGGAGTGCTGGGGACACACAGGTGGGGTGGGGACGTGATGGAGGGATGGGGACACTTGAATGGGATGGGAACACCGCTGTGGGGTGGGGACACATGGGTGGAATGGGGACACGATGCGGAGATGGGAGACACCATGGAGTGATGGGGTCAATGCTGAGTGACGGGGACATCCCAGAGGGATGGGGACACGATGGAGGGATGGGGACACTTCAGTGGGGTGGTGACACCTCAATGGGGTGGTGACACCATGGGGAGTGGTGACACCCTGTTGTGAACGGGACACCCTGCTGGTTTGGGGACACCTCAGTGTGATGGGGACAATGTGGGGTGATGTGGATGTGCCTGTGGGGTGGGGACAAATGGATGGGATGGGGACATTGTGGGGGGATGGAGATGTCCCTGTGGGGTGGGGACATCGTTATGGGGTGGGGACGTGATGGGGAGATGGGGACAAATTGGTGGTATGGGGACATTGTGGGGGATGGGGACACCATGGAGTGATGGGGTCAATGGTGGGCAATGGGGACACAGCAGTGGGGTGGGGACACGATGGAGGGACGGGGACACTTCAATGGGGTGGTGACACCGTGGGGGGTGGTGGCACCTGGTTGTGAACGGGACACCCCTGTGGTTTGGGGACAGCGGCGCCCATCAGCCACGCCAGCGCTGCGATGCTGGGATGGAGGGGGGAGGAGGGGGGTCTTTATTGTCCCTATTGGGGCACGGAGCCCCGGGGGGGGACACAGCACAGCACAACACAGCACAGCACAACACAACAACACAACAACGCAACACAACAACACAGCACAGCACAACAACACAGCACAGCACAGCACAACAACACAGCACAGCACAACAACACAACAACGCAACACAACAACACAGCACAGCACAACAACACAGCACAGCACACGGAGCCGGGGCGCTGTGCCCTGTGGGGGGGTCAGAGCGCGGTGCCCCCCGGCACGCGGGGGTCCCTGGGGTAGAATTCGTCCAGCAGGTCCTCGGGGATGCGCTTCAGCAGCTGCCTGGGGAACGTGCGCAGCAGCTGCCAGCCCAGCTCCAGGGACTCGAAGATGCTGCGGTTCTCGTAGGGCCCTGGGGGAGGCGGGGGGTCGGGGGGCTGTAGGTGGAGGGGGCTCCGAAGGCTGCGCTGCCCCAACCCCCCCCCCCTCACCCTGGGCGATGAACTGGCGCTCGAATTTGTGCAGGAACTCCAGGTACAGCAGGTCGTCGGCCGCCAGCGCCTCCTCGCCCACCACCGCCTTCATGGCCTGCACGTCCTTCCCGATGGCGTAGCACGCGTACTGGGGGGGGGGAACGGGGGCGTGGGGCCGGGCCAACGTGGGACCCCCCCACATGGAGCCCAGCAGGTGGGAGGCAGCCTGGGGAACCGCATTCACGTCCCATGGCCGTCCCACTCACGGCCCCTGAAACCCCGCTGACATCCCATAGCCACCCCATGGGCATCCCATAGGCATCCCACTGAAACCCCATAGCCATCCCATTCACATCCCATAGCCATCCCATGGGCATCCCATAGGCATCCCATTGAAACTCCATAGCCATCCCATAGGCATCCCACTGAAACCCCATAGACATCCCATTGAAACCCTACTGACATCCCATTCACATCCCATAGAAACCCCACTGACATCCCATAGACATCCCATAGCCATCCCATTGGCATTCCAATGAAATCCCATTCACATCCCATAGACATGCCATAGAAATCCCATTCACATCCCATTGACATCCCATAGCCATCCCATTGGCATTCCAATGAAATCCCATTCACATCCCATAGACATGCCATAGAAATCCCATTCACATCCCATTGACATCCAATAGCCATCCCATTGACATCCCATTCACACCCATAGAAATCCCATAGACATCCCATAGGCATCCCATTGAAATCCCATAGACATCTCATAGAAATCCCACAGCCACCCCATAGCCATCCAACAGCCATCCCACAGCCACCCCACAGCCACCCCATCGGGACCGCATAGGGACCCCATAGGAACCCCATAGTCACCCCATAGCCATCCCATAGAAACCCCACAGCCACCCCACAGCCACCCCATAGCCACCCCATTCACATCCCATTGAAATCCCATTGAAATCCCATAGCCATCCCGTAGAAACCCCATAGTCACCCCAGAGCCACCGCATAAAAGCCCCCCAGCCACCCCCCAGCCACCCCATAATATCCACCCCACCCCCCAGAAGCTCCGCCCCCCCCCGCCATCCCATAATATCCCGCACCAGCTGGTTGCTGAGGTCGCCGTGGTCGCGGCGCGTCATGCCCTCCCCTATGGCCGACTTCATCAGGCGGGACAGCGAGGGCAGCACGTTGATGGGGGGGTAAATCTGTGGGCACACAGCCCTATAGCGCCTCTTCTATAGGGCCTACAGCACCTCGGGGCCATACAGCCCTATAGCGCCTGGTCTATAGGGCCTACAGCGCCTCGGGGCCATACAGCCCTATAGCGCCTCGTCTATAGGGCCTACAGCGCCTCGGGGCCATACAGCCCTATAGCGCCTGGTCTGTAGGGCCTACAGCACCTCGGGGCCATACGGCCCTATAGCACCTGGTCTATAGGGCCTACAACACCTCGGGGCCATACGGCCCTATAGCGCCTGGTCTATAGGGCCTACAGCACCTCGGGGCCATACAGCCCTATAGCGCCTCGTCTATAGGGCCATTCAGCACCTCGGGGCCATACGGCCCTATAGCGCCTGCTCTGTAGGGCCCCGCTGCACCTTGGGGCCATACGGCCCTATAACACCTCATCTATAACGCCTGCAACCCCATAGTGTCTCATAGTGCCGCCCCACAACGCCACCCCATAGCGCCCCATAGATCCCATAGAACCCTATAGAGCCCTGTAGCGCCCCAGTGCCCCATACGCCACCCCATAGCGCCATCCCATAGCACCGCCCCATAGAGCCCCATAGCGCCCCATAGAGCCCTGTAGTGCCCTATAGAACTCCATAGTGCCCCATAGTGCCAAATAACGCCTCATAGAGCCCCATAGCGCCCACAGCACCCCATAGCGCCCCATAGATCCCCATAGCACCCCATAGAGCCCTGTAGCGCCCAATAGTGCCCCATAGCGCCCCAAAGAGCCCAACAGCACCCTATAGAGCCCCATAGAGCCCCATAGCGCCCCACAGCGATCCATAGAGCCCAACAGCACCCCACAGAGCGCCCC